CAGGAAACAAACTTGTAGAGCCTCGAGTTCTCCACAGTAGGCAAGTCAGTCCAGTAACCCAGGCAGAGTTCTCAGAGGAGTTACAGGCACAGGCTGGTGACAGCAAACGCACACGGAAGCCAGGCTGGAGTGGCCAGACCCGGGGGGAGGTCAGGGAATGCGGGCGGGGTACCCTCGTGCCCGCTGGGCCTCACAGGGGCGACGCTTGGTCATCTTCTCTGCAGCCCACGACGGCACCTTGATCAGCTGGAGTGCTCTTTCATTTATCTCACAGTTTTCAGACTGTCTACAGTTCCCGCCTGGGCCACCGTTCTGTCAGGAGCACCCAGCTGGGAGGGTACCCATTCCCTCTGCGGAGCTGTCACAGAAGTTACACTGTGATTTGTTTCATACATTGGCTTTCCTTGTGGCTTTTGCTTAGATACACGTCTCCACAGCAAAGAAAGGTTTCAAAGCAACTGTGATAGACCACAGTCACAGTGTTTTAGTTTTCTATTGCTGCGTAACAAGACGCCAAAAACTTGGAAGCTTAAAACAACAGACGTGTGTCACCTCAGTCTCCATCTTCTGTGGTCGGAAGTCCAGGCTCAGCCTGTCTGTGCTCCCTGCTCAGGGCCTCCCGGGGCTGCATCCCCAGGGTTGGGTGAGGCTGTGGTCTCATCAGAGGCTTGACTGGGGACACCCACTGCCACGCCCCTTCGGGCTGCCAGCAGAATTCACCTCCTGTGGTTGAAGGGCTGAGGTCCTGCTTTGCTTCTGGGTGTCAGTTGGGGGCTGCTCTCAGGAAAGCAGGATACTGCAGTTCCTTGATGTGAACCCCCGCCCCCCCAGGACCCCTCAGGACATGGCAGCTTACCCCTTCAAGGCAGCATGGGAAGAGAGTCTAATGCGAGCAAGCAGGACAGAGTTGTGTCAGAGCCTAGCAATATAACCGGGGGACACCTGTCACCTCTGCCGTGTTCTATCAGCCAGAAACAGGCCCTGACCCCACCCACACTTGGCATTAAAATGGGGCCACGTTATGGTCTGTCTGGCACAACGGTGATGCAGGGCGAGCATCCCCTGGGCCCGTGAGCTGCTAAATATCTCACGCATACCAGGCTGGTCTTTCCTGTGCCTAACCTGGATGGTTTCGACCTACTGCCCGTTTCCTGAACGTAATCTCTGCGTGCATCTATTTACTTACTACTTTTTAAATTTTAATTTTCTTTCTTTTTAGTTTTTGCTATAGGGTGCATGCCAGAGAGAGAGAGAGAGCGAGAGAGAGAGAGCCAGAATGTGAGAAGTCACCCCCAAGAAGGGAGAGCTGCACTGCAATCCCCTTCCAGTCTCCTCATGGCATTTGGACACACACACACATGCTGACATGGTTTTCAAACTGCTGGGTCTAGGACTTGAATCACTTACACAGCCATGTGGTATCCAGTGCCCTAACCTCCATGCCATCTGCTGGACCCTCTATGTGCTGTTTTTAAAGTTCTTTTTATAATTGCTTCTATGAAGGAGAAAGGGATTGGGAGATAGACAGACAGACACCTCCAATAGGGTCTCCATGCCACAATTCACTCTCAGTGTCAGCCACCCGGGGTCACAGGTGTGTGTGTGTGTGCCCTGTTTCCAGGGAACCCTCAGGAAGTAGACCTAGAACCTTCCCAAGTGGCTTCAGTGCTGGGCCAACCCAGCTGGTTCTCTATGTCCATTTTTTTTTTTTTTTGGAGAGGTTTTTGCTATGGAGCACATGCACTCGCCAGAAAGAAGGGGAGAGACAGACAGAAATCGAGAAATCACCCCCCCAGGGGGGATGGCCACACCACAATCCCTTCTCCTCCATTCTCTTGGGATCTTGGGCACGCACGCACATACACCTGGCATCAGTTTAAGCCACCGGGTCCAGGACTCGAACTGTGGTCGACTACATGGGAGTCCAGTGACATAGCCATTACGCCAACTGCTGGCCCCTCTGTGTCCGTTTGACAACGTATTCTCACCTGTCTTCTGACCCCAGCTCAGTCTCTGATTAACTGCATAGCCTTGCCCTACCCTCAGCATTCGTGTGGCTGCTTCATCTGCTCCTACACTGATAGGCCTTCGCAGTTAATTTCCTGCCTCAGTTTCCACATATTTGATTACGACTGTCCTGTGGGAGAAGGCGAGAGCTCACTGGGTGACACAGCACATTATCATTACTAATCAGGCAAAGCTTAGTTGAATCTCCTTAGAGCAGGAGGAGCTATCCTGGCCTCACTGTAATTGACCATGTGGGTACACTCAAAGTCAATTAGATTTATTTTTAGCCTTATGATCATTTATAAAACCTATAGGATACCAACTTTAGGAAATTTGGCTGGTATCATTAAAAACACACTTTCCTGAAAGCTTGCTGGCTTTAGAGCGCATTTATGTAAAAATGTGAAGATGTTGATGTTTAGCAGCTCCGATTTATGTTTTTCTTTTAAATCTCAAAATGTCATTATACTTTATTTCACCAATGGAAAACAGTTACCAGTAAATGCTGTCAGAGAAATAACATGTTATTCATCCAGGAAAAAAACAAAAAACTAAGAATTCATCAGAAAAACAAAAGGAATGTGAGAGTGAAGGTAATTTCAAGGATGGCAAATACCCAGCACAGACGCCTCCACTCACCCATCCCGTGGCCATGACAGACATCATCAGTCGATCACCATATCCTGCTGAGCTTGGATAGCGCTTCAGAGCTTTCTCAGCTCCAAGATCCCGAGTCAGATAGGGCTCTTCGGTTACAAGTAACAGAAACTGACTGAGCCAGCTTGAATAAATAAGGAAGAACGTCACATAAACATACAATTCTTTCCCAAAAAGGGGAAACAGAAGAAAGTAAGTAGGCTTCAGGAACCAGGAATCAGAAAGCCACCCAGACTCTGTCCCTAGTCTCTGTGCGTTTCTGCCTGCTTGTTTTTTCTTTTTTCTCTCTTCACAGGCTTCCTCTGCATCTCCAAGTCTGTACGATGTCATTTGCCCACTCAGCTCTTGTGCTAATCTGTTCTAGTTCCAGCCTCCTACAGAGACCGTATCTGAACCTCAGCACCGAATTCCCAAGGGAGCGCTAGCTGTGCGTGGGGCAAAGGACTGCTCCTGGCCCAATCAGCTGTGACCTAAAAGGATCCACTGCTCAATGGGGCTACCTAGACAATTTCAAATCTATTTATTTTAAATTGATTTAAATTTAAATAGCTGGATGTGGCAAGTGGCCACCATAATAGACATTGGAAATGTGGGCCTTTCTGGTTTCAAGATAAGGAAACTGAAGGCCTACACCGCTCAGCTGGTTAATACCTCGACTGAAACGAAGAGCCTGGTCTCCTCTCCGTTTTCAATTTTCCATCCTACTCACTGGAATGGAGGTAGCTTGCGGAAGCGATTTTCCCAGATAATTCAAATGTGTCATTTTCAATGTCCACACCTAGCCACTCGTCTGTGAAAGACTTTCTGAAATGTATTATCGCTACCTGTCCTGGAAGAGAGCAGTGTGGCCGTAACTGCAGACCTCTCTTACTGGCACAGGTTGTAATCGTGAATCTCATCTGTCATTCCGGATTATAATAATGATGCTCTTAGACAGGACTAGTGAGGGTTCCAGGGCTGTCTGCCTCACACTGTGTCTCTCCGCTGGGGAGAGATCTGGCTGTTTCCCCTCTTCTTGTCACACCTTGACATGGTAGCTTCTGACAGCCTCCCCACTCCCTTCACTAGCTTGGCAAAGAACCAAAGAGGGGAACTGGACCAGTTATCCAGCTTAAATTCACCCACAACTCCAAACCATCAACCTTGGAGACGATGGTTGGGGAGAGGGTGTTACAACTGTGTCAGGTATGCAGAGTTTTGTACAAAATGCTCCACGGTGCACACACGTTTTCTTCTAGGACTGCAATGACGCCAACCCACAAAAGCTGAGTGCTGGGTAACCATGCCTAACTGCACTGTAACAGTGCTTCTCAGACGTGTCAACCCTGTGACATCCAGGGTAGCGAGGCAGGGTAGGATTGAGCACCAAATATTTCAAGAAATGATACTGGACCTAGGTACACAGGCTTTTAGATGAGTTTCTTGAGCTGTTAGTCCCTAGTAGATTCTCAGCTCATGGAATATGAAGTGGTAGGAATCTTTTGAAAATATCTCAAGATCAAAGCAAGGCTTTAGAATACTTTAGGAAAAAATGAGTTCAGTAACTTAAGTCCATCACTCATGTGGAGACTTGCAGTAATTCCGTCTGTCCAAAGCACATGGGAGTGCATGAGCCAGAAAGAGCTGGGGCAGGAGCAGTTGTTGAAGTCCATGCATCAGAACCTTCTGTCTGTAGCCGGGCAGACCAAGAAGACACTCTGGTGGTCTTTAGTCTAGGTCCATGCTCCATGCCTGGAGCTAAAACTGAGGGGGTACCAGGAGAGCGGGTAAGAAGGAAACCTAGATTCTGTTGCCAACCGCCGGCCCACCCAAATCCAACAGGTGACAAGGGACCTGCTCGTCACCTCTCAGGGGACTGCAGTCCCCCTTCACAAGTAACACGTTCAGGGTGTGGCATCTACAAGGGCAGCTTTCAACGACTGGAAAAGATTTATGTAAAGGCACCACAGCCAGACAGGTGTTCCTGTATTTTACTCGGCTCTTCTGGAACAGCTTGAGGATTTGCTCAAGGGAAGCATTTATTTTGCCTATGCTCTGCTTTGGAAAATAACTTCACTAAACATGTTCGTTGTTCCGTTGGTTATTTATAGTCGAGTTCTGATCATCCACGAGGCAAGTTCCTGGCTCCGTTCTCGGCCCTCTGTTTGCCTTTCTCACTTCCCACTGACAGCTTGTAGCGACTTAGAATTTCCCGAGCCACAGCTCTCCTTGCCCCCGTTCCAGCTCAGCTAGTGCCCCCCTCCCAACCCTATCCTTCAAAGATATCTACAAACCAAAACAGAAACCCACCTTTCCCCCAGGACAGAACAACACGCCGGAGCAGACTTATCCCGCTGGAAGGACAGTGCTGGACACCACGCAGACGGCCTCTGGGCAGCCTGCGGGCTGGGGTAGGGTCACTAGCCAGGGCAAGACAGAATACTGAATAGCTCCCCCTCGCCTTTCACAGCAGCATCACTCTGGAGCGCTATGCTTTCGCCAGACATGTGATACACCCTCTGCTCCTCACATTCCAGGGGACAAAAGCACATTCTGAAATCTCAACAGAACGGTCTCTTTTCTGACTCTGCACACTGGGCCTCAGCGGAAGCGGCACTAGCACTTCAGCACACTGAGAGATTTCTTCTCGGCCTCCTAACTCCCCAGGCAGAGCTGCCTACACGCTCAGCCAGAGCAGTGGTTCCCCCGAGGACGCCTGGTCTTCAGCTTGGGATCCCGACTTCCACAGGTCTGAGACGAAGCTGAGCTGTGGGCTAGCCAGACGCCCCTACGTGGTTCAGAGTGAGAACCCCTGGCTTGGGCCACACTGGGTTACCATGACTGTGAGTGTGGCCCCACTGATGGAGCGCAGTGTTTGCGCAGAGAGAAGACGTGTACACAGAGGCCACCTCAGGGCCCGCGCTGCCTGGCGCCGAGGTCAACACTGCATCCACTGCCCCCCACTCTGCAAACATTCATTGAGAGCTGCTGCTGGGAGGGCTGGATGCAAAAAATGTACGATGAAGCTACTGCCCATGGGATATAGCAGGGCTCTGGGAGAAGCACTCAGACATTTTCTCAGGCTCCCAGGGACCCCCACAGCCAGGGCTCACTCTAGTCCTGCCTTCGGTACTCATGGCCAGGTGGCATCTCACAATCCCCCCACATCTGCATGCGATTTGACTGAACGTATGTCATTCTGATGCCTGTGGTCCCTGGTTGTTCTGCAGAGTGCGACTGCTTCAACTATGACAGTTATCTCTGCTAATAAAGTTCACTTTTTTTAAACTGCAGAGTTATAAATATATATGCAGCTTGCATATTTGAGGAGGTGTGTAGGAGGGAACACTGAGCTGTGGGCTTCTTCTAGAACAGAAGTCACTCCCTGGCACCTGCACATACATAACTTTCCTCATAGCCTCCCAAAAGGCTTATGCTCAGGGTGTTTTTTATAAAGAGGATTTACTCTAACGGCCCTGGTGAGAAATCAGCATCCTTGACATTTGCATCCTTCCCTCCGTGGCCAGATGGATTCATGGCCATTGGCTTTTCCCCCAGGGAAACAGTAGTCCTACAGTCCCTGCGGAAACGGGAATGGAATGAACTGGGGTGTAAAGTGAGAGCAGGAAGATCAGCAGCTGAGCTCGGGGTGGCCGACCTTGGAAACCTGAGTCATGCAAATAAATTCATTATATCTACAATATCCTAGAGAGCTGGCAAGGCAAATCATAAAGTGACAGACCAAAAAATCTGGCCTAAGAAAAGAAGTAATGGAGGAATTTTCTAAAAGGAGTTTTAACTTTGTACTGAGTACAGTAACACTATAAATTATCAATCAACGAACTTGACGATTTTGCCTGAAATTTGAACTGCTCGTGGGAGACTGCACCTTGTGGGTAACAACGGGACACGTGGTGAATGCCAACACCACATAGGTCTTTGAAATGCATGGCTTGGTAACGAATGTTACTTGCAAAGAAAACTGCGATTGTGGGACCGCGCAGTGGGACTGCCAGTTGTCTAACCAGCAGCATTCTCTTCACATCCCTTGATGTCAAGCCGTGATGCAGCAGGAGGGTGGATGGGTCAGAGGGATCTCACCCTAGCCTAGAGCGAAGGTAAACCCCACTGGGGCAATGCCAGTCCCACTGGCCTGTTCCCTTTCTGGGGCTGGATCAAGGTGGGGTGAAGGATTATCTGCTGCCCTGCCCTATGGTACCACCACCATTCCCTTCTAAGTATAGAATCACCATCTCCGTCCCATTCACGGTTACTGTTCATGAAAAGAACAGAGTAAGACTTGGAAAGAGAAAGGCATTATTCTTCTGGAGCAGGTAATAACAATTTATCCATGGATGAGAGACTCTCAGCAGCTTCCTGGGGCAAACTTGAGGAACTACAAACTTCAGCGTTTCAGGCTAAGATTGTTCAGACTCGACATCTGTGGCCTGCGAGGACAGAGTTTCTGAACTCTGCTTCCCTTGCTTTCTCAGCAGTCACGCACTTCCCGCTTCTATGTTTAGATGTTAAGCCTTTTATACCCAGAACACATATACACAGTGGCTTTCGTTTTCCACCCTGAACCCTGACTGTTACGGTGGCCACATAAAACAGTTCTGGCCAATGGGATAGAAGGGGAGATTGGCTAGGGGGCTTACCTTACTCCCGAGGAGACTCTGGAACAAACAGCCTCTCTCTGTGTTTGGCTGTGACGCCAGTACAGCTGTCATGATTCGCTGCCAGCCTGAAAAAAGAGCCAGTGTACAAGGAGAAGGCAGAGCCAGGAGAGAGGCCTAGCAAGAGGAGCTGGAGTCCTGAGCACTGATCCCCAATGACCTTCTAACTGATGCAAACTCATGCCTCAAGGAAACAAATGTTCAAGATAGTTTGACACTGGCTGCCATGTTTTCTGAGGATGAGACATGATATGGTGACCCCATCTCTTCTCCTCCTGTCTGGGCAAATGCATATCGAGATAGTCTCCCTCTCAAACAGATTACACATCACGGGAATCGCTGTGTGCGTTATTGCTCTGTAGTGACAAGTGTGTCCATTCTATTACTTTCCGTTGTTTTTCGAGCTCTAATAGAAAGTACACTTACATTGCTAAAGCAGCAGTTCGGTTTCATCATTTTTAATTTCTTCTTGTTTAACCCATAACCAGGCAGTCCTTCCTTGGCATGGTAGTACAGAATCATAAAAATACCATGCAAGCTGAAAATTTGCAAGGCAATCTTAATCATCAATAGGAAAAATTGTAATTGTTGCATAAAAATTTTTGCCAAAACATAAAAAAATTTCGTCCTTTCAGTTATAAATACACAGGAATTTTTTAAAATAGATTTTTTAATAGATTGTGACTTACACATTAGAAGCACTAATAATTTGTGCTTTGTTTTGTTTTGTTTTTGGTAAAGATCTTATCAAGAGCAGTGTCAACTGTGCTTATTTTTCAGAGCATCTTTTTATTATTGCCTTAGCAAAACGTCCTTTCCAAGCTTGGGTTAGCATCTGTGTGTGTGTGTGTGTGTGTTTAATTTGTCAGGAGGCACACACATTTGCCAGGGAGAGAGAGAAACAGAGGAAAGAGAGGAAGAAGGCACTCTCAATGGGCCACAGTCACCCTGCAAGCCTTTCTCCTCCATTTCTCCATCCAGTTGGGATTTGGGACATGCATGTGCATGTACTCTGTGTTTTTCAAGCTTCCAGGGCCAGGATTTGAACTGCATGGCTGGTCATGAGGGGTCCAGTTACTTTAACCTCTACACCACAGGGCTGCCCCTCCTCTCCCAATTTTTTTCTTCTATGCACTTTCGATGACATGAAATATCTCTGAGAATTTCTTTGATGTAAAGTTTTTTGCCAATGTCACTTCTTGGACATCGTTTTTGTCACTCATTGATGTTGATAAATTTGCCTCCTGGCAGCATATTTGATGTTTCTTGAAGGGCAATAGCGTCAGCACACACACAGTTTCTGCCACCCAGGAGGATTCGGGGCATGCACACATACGTCCACTGTGCTCTTCAAGCCCCGGTGGCTGGGATTTGAACCACACATCAGTCATGAGGGATCTGGCTCCCTTACCCATTAGTTCACCGAGTCACAATTTTACAGAGGAATAGACCTGGTAGAATAAACTGAGAGAACTGAGGACATCCCCGGGGAATCGGCTCAAGCAATGATGAGGCTGGTGCAGATCGGTCTGAAGTCTGAGCACTGGGAGAACCAACAGGTAAGTCTCAGCGAGAGGTGAAGGCCTGAGGAAACCAGAAGTCCTGGAGTCCAAAGGCTGGAGAACCAGAGTTCTGATCCCAAGGGAGGAGAGGACGGGTGTCCCTGCTCCAGAAGGAAAGTGAATTCACTCTTTCTTGGTTCTTTTTTTCTATTGAGTTCCTTGACAGATCGGGTGTGCCCACTGGCACTGAGTAAAGTGAATTTCCCTTACTCAGTTCACTGACTCAAATGCCAATCTCTAGCAGAAATATCCTCACAGATAAGCCCAAAAATAATGTTTTACTAGTTATCTGGGTATCTCCTATCCTGATCAAGTTGACACCTTACAATTTTTTTTTTTTTAATTTGCTATAGGGCATGTGTCCTCATGTGTGAGAGAGCGATAAAATGAGAAAGCACTCCCAAGGTGTGTGTGTGTGGTGGGGAGTGGTAACCATGCTGCAAACCCTTTTCCTCAATTCTCCTCTCAGGATTTTGGGCTTCTAGGTCTTTCAAGCTGCCAGGTACTCAAACTATGCAGCTGGCCATGTGGGATCCACTCGGCATGAGTTTTAAGCTGCCAAGTCCAGGACTCGAACTGCAGTTGATTACATGGGAATCCAGCGACATAACCATCATACCATCTGCTGTTCCCTACATTTCTATATTATCATTTATCTTATTCCCACTCTCCCCCAGTATGTATTAGTTTCTTTATAAAGTTTTACATTTTACCACTTAATTAAAAAAAAAAAAGGCACAGTATACCATACATATTTTTCTTTGCCCCTCTTCTTTTCATATAACTTTATCTCCTGGTAATCATTCCACGGCAGTTTACAGGGGCAGTCTTTGTTCCTTTTTTTAACAGCTGGGTATTATTAAATAAATACATAGCTTATTCAACTAGTCACCGACTGATAGACATATGAGCCGTTTAAAGTTGTTGCCATTGCAAGTGTTGCTACAATGAACAGCCAGTAGATCTGTGCCTAGAAAAGTCACAATCCTGGCAATCATCAACTCTCTGCTGGGCCAGCCAGTGGTACAGTGGTTAAGGCAGCTGGATCCCACATGGCTGACTGTGTAGCTCCTGGGTGTGGCAGCCTGAAAAACATGCTGTGTGTGGGCGAGTATGCCCAAAATCCTGAGAAAAGGAATGGAGAAGGGATTGAGGCATGACTATCCTCTAAGAAGGGTGATTGCATATTTTCTCTCTCTAATGAGGACACGCAAAATTTAAAAACAAGCAAAAAAAAAAAAAAAAAGAAGAAAAAGTCAACAACAACAAAAAAACATTCATTCTCTGCCTAGTCTTTCCCTGCACTTAACTACGAAACAAACCTGGATAAAATAGTCACTATTGCGGTGTCCAGTAATTCTAAATTTTCTCGGTCAACCCTCTTATCTTCTAGGCAATTTCTCTATCTTCAAACCCTACATTCTCAATGTCTACTCTTCAGCCTTAACTGCCGCTCTCACCCAATAACTCACTGGGGGTGGGGCAGGAGATAAACGTAAGCAAAAGACAGTTACCAGAATCTGTTCTAATACAGAATCCCTTGTTATCCAAGAGTAGGTTCTAGGAACCCCCACACATGTTGAAATCCACGGATGCTCAAGTTCATGACATATAATGGCATAGTATTTGTGTATAGCCAGGTACAGCCTCCTCCCACACACTCTAAAATCGTCTCTAGCTTCCCTATAATGCCTACCACAATGTAAATGCTATGTAAATAGATGGCATGCTCTATCGATTAAGGAATAATGACTAGAAAAAGTAGTCGGTACAGACAGAGCCACATTTAAAAAAAAAATATTTTCAAACAGTGGTCAGTTCAGTCTACAAATGCAGAACCCAAGATATTGAGGGTGGACTGCAATCTATTGGGTCGCCAGAAAAGTCATGATGCATTTTTGCGTAGAAAAACAGAAAACACCTTGCGACTTTTCCAATGACCCAATAGTATTCCCATCCCTAAACCCATATCCTTAAAATGCATGAGGCCTCCCTGCTTTTACTTAAGGCTAAAATTTGGATATTAGCTCTTGATCAGATATATGGTTTGCAAATTTTTCTCCAGTTCATAGGTTGCCTTATTATGTAGATTATTTCCTTTGTTGTGTAAAAGCTTTTCAGTTTGATGTAGTTATATTTATTTGATTTGTAAAGTCTATGCACTTAATGAGAGAAAGACAAGTACCCTCAATACAGTCTTATGCCATGATTCCCTTCCCTTCTCCCACTTTTCCCAGTTAGCCAGGTTAATAGGCATGTACACATGTGCCTGTTGTAGACAAATCAACACAAGAACTGAATTTCAATCTTTTGTATGACCTCCTGCATTGTAGAAACTAGCAGTGCTGCACCATAATATCTAGACCTCTATGTATTTATTTTTCCTTTTGTAGCTTGAGCTTTTATTGTAATAGCCAATATACTATTGCAAAGACCAATGTCAGGGAGCTTTTCTCTTGATATAATTTCATTGTTTTCTTCTAGGATTTTTTCATTTCAGGTTTTTGGTTTGTTTTTCTTTTTTTGGAGAGATTTTTTACTATAGGGTGCATGGCTATGCCACAATTCCTTTCCTCCATTCTCCTTTCAGGATTTTAGGCACATATGCACACATGCCCAGTGTGAGTTTCAAGTTGCTGGGTCTGGGACGCGAACTAGTAGATTATGTGGGAGTCCAGCGATGTAGCCATTATGCCATCTGCTGGTCCCTCATTTCAGATATTATGTTAAAGCATTTTATTAATTTTGAGCTGATTTTTATGTATAGTGTCACATAGGGGCTCATTTCATTCTTTTACAGGTGGAAATAGTTTTCCATCAACATTTATTGAAGAGATTATCCTTTTTTTATTGTGTCTTCTTGGTACTTTTGTTGAAAATTTGTTGACCGTGTATATTTGGTACCCCCCCCCCCCTGCCCTGGGACTTCTATTTTATTCCACTATTTTTTCCCACTGTCTCTCTATATGCCATTACCATTCTGTTTTGACTCTTACTATAGCTTTGTAACATAATTTTAAAATTTGTTAGGAAACATGTTTCCAACTTTGTTTTTCTTTCTTAGAGTTGTTTTGGCTAACCTGGTTCATTTGCAGTTCCATACAGATTTTAGGCTTGCTCTTTTATTTCTGTGAAGAATACCATTGGAATGTTGATAGGGTTGCATTGAGTCTGTGTATCACTTTGGGTAGTATGAACATTTTAACAATATTAGTAATTATTCCAACTTAGAAGCACAGGCTATCTTTCCGTTTGTGTTTCAACGTCTTTCATCAATGCTTTATTGTTTTCAGTCTGCACGTGCAAGAAGCTGGGCTTCCCATGTGGCTTCTGGCCTAAAAAGTGATAGCACTACTTGTATGCTACCAGAGCTGGGCCTACTTCAATTTGTTTCTACAATCGTCTGTGAGTTTCTATTATATTGTTGATTTGCTTTCTCTTTTGTCTAACAGTCCATTAACTAAGTTTTCTTGAGGCCATTTTTTTTTTCCTGCTATAGGTTTGGAAGATACACAATCTATTTTTCTTATTGGGTGAATATTTTTAAATGTTTAGCTTGCATATCAGTAATAGACTTATATTCAAGGCTGCCATAATCTTTTAAGTAACCTTTCTGCATTTGGGATAATCCTCTGGTTAAAGGTACCACCTTCCAAGTGTAGAAATCAGAAATCAAATTTTCAGCCCCTCTTGCAGCTAAGATACAGGCTTGCGAAATAGGTGCTAACAGAAGAACCCACGGAAATGTGAAGGCACGAACTCCACATCCAACTTCCATTTTCTTGGTAGCAAAGTCAAGATCTCAACAGAACTGGCATTGATGCAGGTGGATAGCAGGGACAGAGGTGGAGCTTCTGGCGTTTGACACTTCCTGGGAGCAGCAGCAGTTTCTTCATCTTGCCAGTTCTGTTGCATGGGTTAGAAGACTTTTTCCTGAAATTTAGCTCAGTCCTGCTTTCCTAACTCCTTTAAAGACTCTGGGAGCTGTTATAATTCTAAGAAATTCCTGCAGGGACTCCGCTATTTACAAGGAAGAACCATAACCATTCACATGCCCTTGTTAAAGTCTAAGTTAAGGAATTACTTAACTCTGAATAAAAGAAGCTTAGAATGGTTTAATTCAGCATTGTGTCCTACTATCACCTCCCATATATGAAGGGGTTAATATTCTAGTTTCACTTTTTTTTTTTTTTTTAATTTGGCCCGAGGGCACATGTGCTCATTGAAGAGAGACAGAAGAGAGAGAAAGACAGAGACAGGTCATGGTCCTGTTGCAATCCCTTCTCCTCAATTTCTCCCTTTTAGAATTCTGAACGTGCATACACACACTCCTGGTGTGATGTTCAAGTTGCCAGGCTTGCTGAAGTCAGCTGAGTGAGATCCAGTTGCCTTCATCACCATACTGAGGATGGTTGACCCTCGCCTGGTTCTCAAATAGCAAAAAACTGTCCTTTAAGAGAAATACTACTTACTTAGATGAACCAAAGTATTTACTAATTATTTGTTTGCCCTACCTTCTTCTGTCTCACTTCTTGGAGTTTTCTTTCTTCTTGTTGGAGAATATTCTTTAGGATTTCTTTCAATGAGCATCTGTGAGTCCTAAATATTGAAACTTTGACTTTTCTCTTGAAAGATGGTTTAGTGAGATATAAAATTCTAGTTTCTCAGAATCTCTCAATACTTTAAAGATATTTCCTATCACCTTCTGCCACTTGTTGCTGATATGCTGATAGGATGACTGCCATTCCTCTTAGGATAATTTGACACACATACACACACACGTGTGTGTGTGTACATATATACATTATGTATTGGGATCTTCCTGCTTCAGCTTCCCAGCTGGGACTACAAACATAAATCACCACATCCCACTTTCCACACTGTTGTCCAGGTCAGCCTTGAGTTCATGATCGTCGTGCCTCCGCCTTCTGGGTTGTGAGAATTACAGCATGCAACACTGCCTGGCCTCTAGATTGGACGAGAAATCAAACCCGGCCATTCCACGTGGTTCTAGCCTGCAGAAAATAGCATCTTAGCAGTGTTTAGGCTGGGCCCTGAGGGGTAACTTTTTTTTTTTTTTTTTTTTTTAAATACACCAGAGGGGCCTGTGTTTGCCAGAGAAAGAGAGAACAAAGCTTCCAGTGAGGGATGGTCACACTGCAGTCCCTTTTTCTCTGTATCTCCACCTCACCAGGATTTGGGGCATGAATGCACACATGCCTGGCATGTTTTTCAAGCTGCTGGGGCCTGGACTCAAAGTGCTTGAGATCTGGCTTTCTATGCATAGCACTCAACTGCTATGCTACAAGGCCAGCCCATAACTTCTTTTAAAAGTTTATTTATTTCTTGAGAGAGAAAGAAACAGGCACTCTTGACACCATCATGTGCCCTCACCCAGTTGGCCAGGATCGAGGTGCACACCCTCATGCTTGGTGTGCTTCAGACTGACCCAGGTTCTAATTGTGGTCTTCCAGAGGGCCCCAGCATTGTAGACTGGTGCCTTACCATTTGTGCTCTCAGCTTTAACTTTTAACCTGTTCTTACTGTTTGGTATTTTGTAATCTTGCTGCTATGTACAAGTGTCCAAGTCCTGCTCTCCCCTGGATGTGTGGTGTTTTAGACCAGATCTCCCTGCTGTGGTCCCGCTGCCTCAGCCTCCCCAGTAGCCAGGGCTACAGGTGTGCACCACCACACCCAGCTCCTTTACACACATGTCATTGCCTGAGCTGACTGCCAGCTTGTGGCCCTCCTGCCTCTGCTCCCTGAGCAGCTGGGATTACAGGAGCATGCCACTGCACCTAGCTTATTAACTTTAAAAATTTATTTTGCACGAGACTTCATATCGCCCTTTGATCTAATGACGTGTTTTCAGGTTTTCACAGTCATTATCTCTATGGCTCTCACCTCTCCTGTTTGTCTCCTCCAGAAAGTCTTGCAGACAGATGCAGGGTCTTCTGGTTCTGTCTTCCCGGTGTCTGAACTTACCCTCATTTTGGCAGATTACTAAATGCTTTTTCGATGTAGCTCAGGCTCCTCGCAAAATCCATTTCTATAAGACAGGGACTAGCAGGCTCGAAAGCTGTCAGTAGCTCTTTCCTACCACAGAAGCTGCTCCTCTGGCTTTCAAAGCCTCCATCCATCCGGGGCCTGCGGTTGATGTGTTGGGTAACCAGGCACAGTAAACTTCTTCAAGCCCATTTCCAACATGGGAGGTGAGTGAGAAACTCCAGTGAGGTAAAGCATCCACGTTGCTCAGTGAAGACCCAACGTGTGGCAGTACAGTAAACAAGACTTCTCGCTCATGGCAATTCTCCCGGTGGGTATGTCTGTAAGACCTCTGCTTCTATCCTTGCAGACGTGAATTCTGAATGGAAGCTGTCATCAGTTCTAAGACTTTGCGGTGGTGCTTGGCTGAGGCATGAATACGTGAGCCTGGTCCAACCAATTAGTCATCACTAATTGATGATCTGGGACTTGCCAGGAACACTGGTTCTTTGATGACTGCAAAGTACCTAATACGTGTGAGTAAAGCTGGCTGAACAGGGAGGATAAAAGTAAAAACAGGAGGCAGGAAGGGAAGGAGGGAGATTACTGATACCAGTTAACTTCTTGGCCCCATTGGCTTGTTTTATTTATTTATTTATTTTGGAATTATTTTATTTAAGTTTACTTACTTACTTATTCTAATCTGAGCAGAGGGACGAAGAGAGGGAAAGTGAGAAAGCATATGCCCGCCCCCACCCCACCATGGGGAATGATCTTGCCGTAATTTCTTCTCCATCTCTCCCTCCTCTGGGGATTCTGGGCACATGTGCACACACACTGGGCGTGCTTTTCAGGGTGCTGGGTCTTGGACCAAGCAGTTGGCCATGTGACATCTAGCTGCCTTCACCACCACACCATGGTCAGGCCAGTTTTTCGTCTATTTAATTGTCAGAGGACATGTGTGCTGAAGCACCCCATCTAATGAGGTATGGTCACACTCACCTCCAGCTCATCAGGATTTTAGGCATGCATGCCTATGTATCAAGTGTGAAATTTATTTATTTCAATTTGACTAGAGCGAGACACATGTACACACACACACACACACAGAGAGAGAGAGAGAGAGAGAGAGAGAGAGAGAGAGAGAGAGAGAGAGAGAGAGAGAGAGAGAGAGAGAGAGAGAGAGCGAGAGCGAGAGCGAGAGCAAAACATCACGTCCGGGACTCAAACCATGGTTGGTCATGTGGTGTGTTTTTAAAAGCCATGTGGGATCCAGCTCATAGCAATGCTCGGCACTTAACTGCTACAGTAGGGGGTTCGGGACACCCATAGCCTTTCATTTTACCTTATTTGATTGTATGAGATAGACTAGGTCATGTGAAGCCTGTTTTTTTTTTTTTTAGGTTTTTTTTTTTAATGGTGAAACCAAGATACGGGCAGCCAAAATGGTGTTCAGGGTGGAGAAGGATGACAACTCAGGTAGGTGTGGAGCATTCTTTATCAGGAGAGCTTGAAGCCTATAATGAGGCAGGACGTGCATTAATTATGTTAATTAGAAAATTTCAGAAGAGTCCTGAAGTTTCCTTAGCTCAATCACTAGAAACCTATTAAAATGCATATTCAGTCCATAATTTAAATTTGCACTTTCACTCTCCAAAAAATTTATCTCTGCCATTGTTCCTAATCAAGTTCCAGTTGGGCTTTAGGGGGTGTGCACGCGAATTAATTCCTGGCTTGACATCTACAGAGCTTAACAGGATTAACTATGAATGAGGGTAAATTCTCACACCCCTTAACTAAGAACTCTATGGAGTATAGCACAGGATTTTTACAAGGTGACTTGTAATCAGAGCATTCCAGTAATAGTACCACAGAACCTTCACTTTGGGGAACTCAAATGCTTGCACATTAAATCTGTGGCCCTCACTGAACTGATAAGGAGAGGCTGGGTGCCCAAGAGTAGTCCTATTTAATCTGCTGGAGTTGAGAAGGTAGTGAAGAGTAGCAGAGAACGCTAGGCCAAGAACCGACTTCTTCCGATCTTCGCATGGCTGTTACAGTGCAGTTATGAGAAGCCCTCCATTTTACGTAGAAAATAACATAATGAGGAATGTAATTGTAGACACACTATTTCAACCACATCATGGCATGGATATGCCAAAGGATATTAGAGGGCGGTGCTATTCCTCGATCAGCAGGGTTTTTTAGCCTGCACTCGGATATTTTAATGACGTTGGATTTTTCTTCCTTTCTCTTTTTCTCTCCTCCTCTTCCTGGTTACAAGCACAGCATCACAATAGACTTCCAGTCTTGGCATCGCCCCCGTTTCTCTACACTGCCATTAGGCGCAAATCGATCCTCTAAATAAAGTCTGTCCCGAGAGACAACTGATGCAGGGAAAAGGGGACTTTTAAAACCCGACCTGACGTCACACGTTTGTGTTCCAACCATCTGTACCTTTTATCAACCCGAGGCTGGAGCCGGCAGGGCGGGCAGACACAGGCGCACAAGTCTTCTCCCACACAAGCCTGGAATGGTAACAGTGCGGCCGCCTAAGAAAGAAAAGCCGATTCAGAGCTGCGGGCTGGCGTGGGGGGTGTGTGGCAGGGTGAGGGCGTCATTCCCCTTCTCCGCCATCCGAGGATGCTATTTATTGGAAACCCAGCACATCTTAAAAAAAATTGATTTCTCTCTAGTGGGAGGCAAAACCCTCAGATGCGAAAGAAGAAAGAAAAAAAAATGCAGGCCTGGCAGGGGCTTTCGGAGAACCAGCCCGGCCTCCCGAGCGCTGGCGAAGAAAGGCGCGGGCGTCCGCAACCAGTTTGCCTGCAAAGGCGCCGCCCTTCCGCCCCGAGCGCCCGCATAGCCTCCACCCATCCTCGGAGGGCCGCAGCTCAGGGCCCACCGCCCCCTGCACGCCCACCGCCCCGGGCCACCCCGC